CAAAATCTTAAAAGTTTTTTTTTTCTTTTTTTTAATTTAGCGTTAAAAGAGAATCGAAACCTTCGAACTTTTCGGACTTTATGAAAAAAGAAATTCGAAATCTTCGAATTGTTCGAACTTCACGTCTATAAAAATTCGAAGCGTTCGAAGTTTTCGAATTTTTTTTACAAAGAATTTCGAAATTGTCGAATTTATCGAACCTGAAGTAAAAAAATATTCGAAATATTCGAATTCGAAATTTTAGAAACCGTGAAAGCTTCGAAATTTTCGAATTCGAAACTCCGCTGTGGACAAAAGTTGCGAATTTTTCGAAATCGAACCTCGGTCGGTACGAAAATAGCGAAATTTTTCGAAATCGAATCTCACTTCGCTTCGCAAATATCGAAACCTTTCGAAATCGAACCTAGGGTGGTTCGCGACATCCCTAGTAGTAACTCTTCGTGGTTGAAAATAGGGTGCACGTGTTGTTTTGATCATGATCATGCAGAAAGATGTAAGAAACGAATGCGCCGCTCAACTCTGTTTTACTCGGACAGAGTGTGACCGCTCGGACGGCAGATTCCCGGCCCTCGGCGCTTGGCTTACGAATTATGTCGATCGTTCCGCTAGTCGCACTCCTCCACCATCATTTTGGATGAGCGTGAATAAAACATCACGTGTACCATATTTTCAGTCATCGAGAATTACTCTAATGCAGTTATCAGGTTTGTTTCTCACGACCACCTTTAGGGTATTATTTCCGGCTTCTGGTTGGTCACATTCGAATTTCCGAAGACGCCCTGGAACACGCCCAGCCCGCTTTCAGCCAATGGCGTCTCCTCATTTGTCTCCTATACTTCCCAACGAATGGCCAAACTCTTTACATATACGGCTCTGGCTACGCCTAAAGCCCCTTCATGTTTTAAAAGTAGCGCGAGGTGCGTCGATGCACGAGGCACGTGGAACGTGCAGCCCTTGGAAAGATCATGGCGGCACAGCCAAGCACAGCGCACCACTGAGCTGGATTTCAGACGTCATGCTCTTCCTGGAAGCGGAGCGCGGCGCCTGTCTCGAGCATTTTCACAACAATGAATGGTGCCACTTCTCCCAGGATAGAGGGGCTTTAGGTTTGCCGAGGAATGCTCTGTGCTACCAGATCCTGGCCCTCCCAATCTGCGACCGGGCATTCTATGGCTCCGTCGTCGAACTGCCATATAGGGAGTATTCACTGGCGGTCATAGCTGTGTGCGCGAATGCTGAGCGCGTGCTGACGGCGAGCTTCCACAGTTCTTTTGCAACGTGCATTCCGCACCATCAAGAGTGCCGGTCTTAGCAGCCTATTGATGTGAGCTCGTTCTGAGCATGCGCTCTTAACAGCACCCGCAAATATGGCGCCCAGTGAATACTCCTCATAGAGGAGGCTATGGTTGATGTTTCGGTGCTCGCGCTGCAGCCGCGTTCAGGGCGCGTGAAAAACGCGAGCCTGGTGTTCTGAGCTGGCTTCCAAACGATAGGCTTGTTCTATTCACACGCACCTCCTGCACCTGTCTAGAAAAGTGTATTGGGCGGTGTACTTCCGGTCGTATCTCATTGAGGAGAGCAAGTCGTCTGCTTGTTGCGCAAGAGTTGCGGTGATGCCAGAGAGACGACGAGCTCTGATTGACTGTGATTGAAGGATAGTGGGTAGACCTCAAAGCAAGCTGCTTTGAGGTCCACCCACTATCCTTCATTCAGAACCAATCAGAGCTTGGCATTCTGAAGCCACCACAACCTCTGCAAAAGAAGCAGACGAACTTGCGCTCCGCATACAGATACCAGAAGTACACTGCCCTACACATTCCTGAACCGGCGCAAGAGGTGCAGGTAACTCGAACTAGCCTGATGTAGACGATTGATCGATACACGCCCGTCATCCCTCCTGTGGGTCTCCTCGGCCCCAAACTTTGTCAACTTCTCTCGGTAATACTACGCTGCCTGAACGCGTCTGTGGATGCAGTGTTTACAGCGTCCCCAACTGTTGTCCCTTGATTTCCACCTGGTGACGTCAAAGAAGTGCCATGCTGTTGCCGGCCGCGATCCTGGCGGTGGAAGAAGAGCGAAGGTGAATGCGGCAGTCACCTGTTCTGTTGCGGGCCGCCTTCCAGCTTGACAGTCCACATAACCTTCAGAAGGTTTGGATGCAATGGGCGATGACAGCGACACTCGCTTTCACTCATACTTTTTTTGCCAGAACTCCTGCGGCCTACCGTCCAGGATTGTGACATCCCACACCATGACACTCCGGCTCCTGTGGCGGTCATTTGTTGCCACTTTGGGACTGTTTTTTTATGGATGGGCGGAATGTGGAGCGCAAGTTCGTCTGCTTGTTTTGTGGGGGTTGCGGTGACGTCCAAACGCCGAGGTCTGATTGGCTTTGATTGAAGGGTAGTGGGTAGACCCCAAGGCAGCTGGCTCTGAGGTCTACCCGCTATCCTCCAATCAGAGCCAATCAGAGGTCGGCGTTCTGACGTCACCGGAACTCTTGCAAAGGAACCAGATGAACTTGTACTTGCATAGGACCCCAACACGCCAGTCGATGACGTGTTCCGGGAACCGTAGTGATGCGTCTGCCTTTCTTGGAGTGGATAGCACCACAGTGTTGTGACAGATCACAGAAAATAAGCAACGAAATAGCCTTACTTTGATTGGACAAAAGGAACGAGCTATTGTCAGTTGCGTTACCTTCCTGCAGATGTAGAAAAAAATCATCGTCGTGACTTCTAGAATTAATTGACGTTGTTTTTCCGCTACTTTGTAGGTTGGTATCAGCGACTTTTAGCAAACCGTTACCGTGTTCCGCATACCGCACTACCGGAGCCTTTCAAGCACGCATTGAAGCGCGCACTTCGCGGTCACGCTATCATTCGGGTGAGCGCTTCAAAGCATGCTTCAAGGGCTCCGGTAGTGTGGTATAAGGAACACGGTAGCGGTTTGCTAAACGTCGCTATCATTTGGTAGCGCTTGGCAAGAAGGCCACAGGTTACGCCTTCCACAAAAGACACACATTTCCAGTAAGGTTTCGTAGCATTCATTATCCATTGTTTAACAAATGTGTTAAATATTAGCTAAGGTTTAATTTTTGACGTTGTCGTTAATCAATGAGGAACGAAGTCAGAAAAGAAAGGGTAATCACCTTTGGCACGGGACGTAGAGTTAAAATGTCTGTGTGCCGATAGTAAACGGATATCCCATTCCAACGAGACGACGTTCGCGTTTACATGAAAGCGGCCGCAGTGTTCCTCCTCGAGAGTGAGCTCATATTTGTTTGGAAAGTTCTATTTCTTATAATTATCAGTTAATAAAATAATACTTTTTGAGAAACGATAACGAAACGTTACATTCGATCGCGATGACCATGGCTTGTGGCTATATTGGAACGAGGACATTAACTTCCTCGCTACAATATTTTAATTTGAAGTCGTGCAAATCGTTGTTTTGTGGGGAATCTTTTTTTCTCTGCGCAGTTGAAGAATTATTATTTACTTGATTTTAAACAACAAAAAAGAAGGCGACAATAAATACAATCGAAAGAAGCGGATATCCAGGAAAGCAATTCGAGGGACGATTCCGTGAAGAAATTGGCAGAAATACGTTACAAGTTAGCCATCTCCAACGAGTGCGTTAGTTCGTTTAGGCAAAACAAAGCACTCACTTTCCAGTAACATTGTTAACTGTAGCGCCTCGCTTCTGACACGGAGCTCGGGTTCTGCAGAGGGACAACGCATGTTGTGCAGAGGGTATGTCAGTCGCATGTTCTAAGTACCCTCGTGCCCGGTGTGCTCGCACATACTCCACGTCTCGATCCCTCAAATCGAAAAAAAATAAAATAAAGACTTATAAGTTACGTTATCGAAACAGAGGTGACGCTTTTTCCCTCAGGCCGGCAGCCGAAACGACGGAGACACGGTGGCAGTGTCTGTCTCGAATGCTAGGTCACTCGGTTGAGGTCTGCCAGAACCCTGTCGCCCGTGACACCACCGTTGGACATTGAGAGGATCAGTCTCGTGCTGCGATGAGACTCCAGCCGTGCATTATGAAGGACCTGCGATGACGAATGTCACCGTGGTTCAACCACGTCCCTCTGCGTCCACGTGTCACGGTTTAGGTGCCGCCTCATGCGAAAAGCAATGTAACGAGCAAAAAAAAAAACAAAAAAAAAACATTTTTGTTGGTTTGTTGTGTAGGAATAGTCACATTAGTGTCTTGGGTAGATTGCTTCCAATCGCTCTCGTCAGAGATGCTTCCGCTAACAATTGGTACTCTTGATTACAGCGGTTGTACCATTTTTTAAAATATATTTATAGGACCAACCTAAAAAAGACCGTCACCTTCCCCCCCCCCCCCCCCCCAAAAAAAAAAAAAAAAAAAAAAGCAAGCTTGAGGTGGCGGTGTTTGTGAACTGCCTTCTGTAAGATGTATTCGCAGTGTTACCGCGCGCGGCCTTTAAAGGGCCCATGAAACGATTTTTGGGTTGGGATAAATCATTTTAGATTGGGATTTTACTAATAGCACATCGTTCAGTGAACCAAAAGAAAAAAGTAGAAAGTCAAAAGCGTGACTTTCAGTGCGAAAATTTGAAAACAGAGCGGACTATTTCGTACCTCCTCCCCTTCGCAACCTCTCTGCCTTTTCACTGTGATACATCCGCGGTCCCAAAAGCGCGTCGTCGGGTCCAAACTGACGTCACACGCAACCGGACCTCACTTATTCCCTTCACCCCTAAGCTGACATTGTGGTGGAAGCTACGCGCTTGCCGGACCAATCAGCCGCCTCTGTTGCGACGGCCTTCACTGGGGGCTTTAAACTAAAAACAGAACGTCTTCCTGAAGCCACGAGACCATCTGGAATCGCGGGCCCTCGCAAGGAGAAACACCGGCGTACGTGTGCGTGCCTGTGTGTGTGTGGGTCTGTCGGTGTTGAGTTTCAGCAAGAACGTCGACTCCTTACATCAGCCACTGGAGCGCGGCAAGAACGTCGAGGGGTTACATCATCTGCCCCTCGCTGAAAGAACACCGGGAAATTGCCTCAGCCGCCCCCGCACTTCGGACACCTCGTGAACACTCCAACACCGGGGAAGGCTCCTCTCTCTCAGAGGGCCTTCTCGCCCTCGAAGGGCTATATAACTTGGGCTCAGAGAGCCCGAAGCCGCCGACTGCAGATGCCGATTGCCGATTAATTAGTCGACCATGCTCTTGTATATTCACTGTATATAAAAGTTCTCCTTCAGTACTCCCACTCCAGGCCTGTTTCCTCGGGGCCATGGTAGCAGCGAGCCGCAGCCCCAACTCTTGGTTCCGCGCCTGAGGTCGCCACCCTCCCGAACGCAACAACTGGTTGGCAGCGACGGGATCGACTCCACGCAGACCATTGATCACACTTGTGGGTGAGTGTCTGGCTTTTCCCTTTGAGTACTCACCAGGCTTTACCTTCTGGGTTAAATAGTGTAAAGCGGGTGTTTTGTTTTGTGGCTATCTGTGACGCAGCATTTGTTGCACGTCATAATAGTAGTTTTGGGATTTAGCCAGTGCTCGGAACGATCATGGACCTCAATTCGCTGCGTAAGCCAGAATTGATACGTATCTGCGAGGAGTTAGGTGTGGATATCAGGGGATTAAAAAGAAAGCCGATCATTATCAAGGCAATTCTCGACTTTGGTACAGATGAGGCCGAGTTATCCGAGTGTTGGGAGGAAGTGCAGAGAATAGACAAAGAGAAAAGGGAACTAGAGGAACAGGAGCGGAGCGACAGACTCAAGTCGCAAGAGGCAGAATTGAAGCTCCAAGAGGCGGAATTGAAACGCCAAGAGCAGGAGCTGGAGATGAAGAGGCTTGAACTCGAGCTAGTAAAGTCAAGGGGTGATCGGGAGGGCAGCCCGGCATCCAGCACAGGAGAAGGCAAATCATTTAAGATGAAGAACTTAATGCAGCCTTTTAAAATCGGAGAGGACGTTGGTTTGTTCCTGGTGAACTTTGAGCGCACTTGCGAAAAGGTCGGGTTCGCTAGGCAAACCTGGCCGCAGCGTCTCTTAACGCTTCTTCCTTGTCCGGCGGCAGACGTGGTAGCAAGGCTCACGAAAGACGAAGCGGAGGACTATGAAAAGGTCAAAACAAGCCTCCTTAGAAAGTATCGTCTTTCCGCTGAAGCCTTTCGGCAGCGTTTTCGTAGCGCCGAGAAGAAGCCGAACGAGTCATTTCCGGAGTTTGCTTACAATTTGAGAGCAAATCTAGTGGAATGGCTCAAATTCGTAGACGCGCACGGGGACCACGATAAAGTAGTGGAGTGCATTTGCCTAGAGCAGTTCTTGCGTCGCATCCCTGAGGAGACCCGCCTTTGGGTTCAGGATAAGCCGGACGCAAGGGCTGTTCAGAGGGCCGCGGAGCTGGCGGAAGAGTTTGCGACTCGCCGGGCCTTAGACGAGAAAGGTCACCCGCGTAAAGAGAAAGCGTTCCCGCCTGGCAAAAGAGATGACGGGAGGTGGCCAGGGGGTCGATTTTCGAGAGACGGGCGGCCAAAGAGGGTCGAGGGCGAAAACCGGAAGGAACCAGCGCGAACGAAAGGAGAGGCCGGCGACGGCACCGATGGCAGGGTGGATCACGAGAAAAAGAAGTCATTTGAGGCTCGCCGGCCCCTAACATGCTATAACTGCCAAAAGCCCGGTCATGTCGCGGCCGGATGCAGAGAGCCCAAGGTGGTCTTCGCCTACGTAAACGATGGCGAAGAGAACCTCCGGTTACTAGAGCCATATTTGCGCGACCTAACGGTGAACGGCAGGCAGTGCCGAGTGCTTCGCGATTCGGCCGCCACTATGGATGTGATTCACCCCTCTTACGTAGACTCTACGAAGTACACGGGAGAGTGCGCGTGGATTAAACAGGTGGTCGAAGAGCATAGCGTGTGCCTGCCGGTCGCCAGGGTGCGCATCGAGGGTCCTTTCGGCGCCCTTGAGACGGAGGCGGCCGTGTCGGCCAATCTCCCGTTGGGGTATCCGTACCTGTTTTCCAACAGGTCGGAGGAGCTGCTGCGGGAGAGAGGCCAAACGTTTTGTGAGGGCACCGTCCTGGCCTTAACTAGGGCTAAAGCCCGAGACTTGGCAGCAAAACTAGAGTACGGAAATGAGGCAGACGTTCCCACCGGGAGAACCCCACTTTCGAACGCCTCGCGTTCGGCTGTCAGGGGTGACGTTGGCGCTGCCGATCCAGAGAGGCGAAAAGAACAAGAAACACCGGTAGAGAAAACCTCGGAAGGGAAGGCTCAAAAGTGTCTCGACATGGAGGGTTCCGAAGGCCTCTGTGTTACCCCCGAGTCGGGTGAATTGCAGAAACTGCTGGGTGTCGATCGCGATTCTCTGATCGCACAGCAGGAAGCAGACCCCACTATTAAGGATCTGAGGTCGAGAACGGAAGAAGGAGTCTCCCGACGGAATGTAGCTTTCCAAAAAAGGAAAGGGGTGTGGTATCGGAAGTATAAAGACCGAAAGGGTATTGAATTTGATCAGCTTGTGGTGCCTGCAAAGTACCGGCGCGATCTCATCCACCTAGCGCATGGCAACTCTTGGTCAGGACACTTAGGAGTGAGAAAAACGAAAGATCGCCTCCTCCAGGAGTTTTACTGGCCGGGGTGCTTCAAAGAGGTTGAGGAGGTCGTCCGGTCCTGCGACACGTGTCAACGAATCGGAAAACCACATGACAAGACCAAGGCACCGCTAAAGCTCGTGCCAATAATCACAGAACCCTTTCGCCGTTTGGTTATCGACACGGTTGGCCCCCTCCCCGTTACACAGTCGGGATACCGCCACATCCTGACGATTCTTTGCCCCGCGACAAAGTTTCCCGAAGCGATCCCGCTAAAAGAGCTCAGCTCTGTGGAAGTGGTGAACGCGTTGCTTTCGGTGTTCGCACGCGTTGGATTTCCCGCCGAAATCCAAAGCGATCAGGGTAGTGTGTTCACCAGTGCTCTGACCACTACGTTTTTGGAGAGATGTGGTATTAAGTTGATTCATAGCTCCGTCTACCACCCGCAATCCAACAGCGTAGAAAAATGGCATTCGGTGATGAAACGGGTGCTGCGAGCATTGTGTTATGAGCACAAGACTGACTGGGAGGCATGCCTCCCAGCAACAATGTTTGCTTTGAGATCAGTGCCACACGAGGCAACTGGTTTTAGCCCCGCCGAGCTAGTATACGGCCGATCTTTGAGATCTCCGCTCCAAATGCTAAGAGAGTCATGGGAGGGTCACGGGGAAGACCCCACTGTAGTGGAGTACGTGCTCGAGCTTCTTGATCGCCTGAACCGCAGTCGAAGTATTGCCGAAAGTAATATGAAGGACGCTCAGGTGAAGGCAAAGCGGTATTACGACCAAACCGCTAAGCCGCGAACCTTTTCCGTCGGCGACAAGGTGATGCTTTTAAGACCATCGACGAAGAATAAGCTCGAGGTGCAATGGGAAGGACCCGTGGAAGTGTTGCATAAACTTTCGGACGTGAACTACGTCGTGAGCACGCCCGGGAAACGTAAAATCCAGAAAGTGTATCACAGCAATCTAATGAAGCCGTACCGGCAACGTGAGACTGTGATGAGTTTGACGGTAAACCACCCCGAGGAGGTCAGTCTTGAGTTTCCCGAGATTAGTGAAACCCCGATCGCGTGCTCGGTCGAACAGGTACTCGAGAAGGCTGTTGTGTCGGCTGATTTGGAACCAAGGCAACTAGGTGATCTGAAGGCACTCCTTGGGGAGTTTATAGATCAGTTCCAGAGTAAGCCAGGAATAACCGATCTTGTAGTTCACGACATCGAGCTTACCACCGACCAGCCCGTGCGGTCAAAGCCCTACCGAGTCTCGCCTAGACAGAGGGAAATCATGGAGCGGGAGGTGAAGCGCATGCTTGATCTGGGGGTGATTGAGGCAGGAGAGAGTGACTACACTTCTCCTTTGATACTTGTGGAGGTACCGGGAAAAGAACCTCGCCCGTGCGTTGACTACCGGCGCCTCAACCTTATCACCAAAGATCAGACGTATCCCATCCCCAATATTGAAGAACGGGTGGAGATGGTGAGCGCTGCCAAGTATATCTCCACGTTGGACCTTGTTCGAGGCTACTGGCAGGTCCCCCTTTCGGAGAGAGCGAGCCGGTATGCCGCTTTTATATCCCCCTTTGGAACGTTCCGGCCTCGTGTCCTCAGTTTCGGCCTCAAAAATGCACCGTTTTGTTTTTTCAAGCTTAATGGATCGGGTGCTCCGAGGTCTAGAGGAGTTTGCCGTTCCGTACTTGGACGACATCGCCGTGTTTTCCGAGTCCTGGGACGAACATCTTGCACATCTTCGGGTTGTTTTCGAACGACTCCGAGACGCGGGCCTCACCGTAAAGGCGGAAAAGTGTCAATTGGGAAGGGGAGAAGTAACGTACTTGGGACACGTGGTGGGTCGCGGTTGCCGCCGACCGTCCGAGGTAAAGCTTGCAGCCATCGAGGAGTTTCCTCAACCGCTCACAAAAACAGACATTAGGTCTTTCCTAGGCATTGCAGGATACTACCAACACTACATCCCAAATTATTCGGATGTTGCTAGCCCACTCACTGACGCCCTCCGAAAGACAGAGCCTCAAGAGGTTCGTTGGAATGATCGAAAAGAGCAGGCTTTTCGCGCTCTGCAGAAGGCTCTAATGAGCAAACCAGTCCTGAGGGCGCCAGATTATGAGCGCACGTTTATCATTCAGTGCGACGCCAGCAACCGCGGTCTTGGGGTCGTACTAAGCCAGAAGGACGACTTAGGCGAGGAGCATCCCATCTTGTACGTCAGTCGAAAGCTGACAACTCGCGAAGAAGCCTACAGCGCTTCGGAAAAAGAGTGCGCTCGCTTGGTGTGGGCCGTGCAAAAGCTTGCGTGCTATGTGGCAGGCTCGAGGTTCATCATCGAGACGGACCATTGTCCCCTCCAATGGTTGCAGAATATGTCGCCCAAAAATGGCCGACTCCTTCGCTGGAGCCTAGCTTTGCAACAGTTTTCTTTTGAGGTCAGGTACAAAAAGGGTAAACTGCACACCAAAGCGGATGGCTTGAGCCGACGCTCATAAGTGAGTAGAGACAAGTCTTTACTGAGCGAGCTCATGGATGCCAAAAATTTACTTTATTTTGCTAAACAATTGTACCCAAGCTGGGATACTATTGATTTTGGTTTCGTGCCTTTTGTTGCTTTCTTGTGGGTGCCGAGCCCTGGTAGGGGTTTCGTTTTATTTATGATTTTGCTAAGAGCGATTTTCATACCTTTTAGTGCCTGGTGTGTGTTCGAAGGGGTTTGCTAGATGCGCATTTGCAGTGCGGTCTTGGTTCAATTTTATTATCCTCTCAAGATTTTTCGCAAGCTGCCCCAAGCGCTTGGAGATGAGCAGAGAGAATGCCCGGCACTCAAGAAAAGCCGGAAACGGTGATCCACCTCCTCATCGGCACTACTGCGGTCCCTCAAAGGAGTGGCTGCTGACCTCTTCTCTTCGGGACCGACTTCCGGGCGGCGGAGGGACTGTTGCGACGGCCTTCACTGGGGGCTTTAAACTAAAAACAGAACGTCTTCCTGAAGCCACGAGACCATCTGGAATCGCGGGCCCTCGCAAGGAGAAACACCGGCGTACGTGTGCGTGCCTGTGTGTGTGTGGGTCTGTCGGTGTTGAGTTTCAGCAAGAACGTCGACTCCTTACATCAGCCACTGGAGCGCGGCAAGAACGTCGAGGGGTTACATCATCTGCCCCTCGCTGAAAGAACACCGGGAAATTGCCTCAGCCGCCCCCGCACTTCGGACACCTCGTGAACACTCCAACACCGGGGAAGGCTCCTCTCTCTCAGAGGGCCTTCTCGCCCTCGAAGGGCTATATAACTTGGGCTCAGAGAGCCCGAAGCCGCCGACTGCAGATGCCGATTGCCGATTAATTAGTCGACCATGCTCTTGTATATTCACTGTATATAAAAGTTCTCCTTCAGTACTCCCACTCCAGGCCTGTTTCCTCGGGGCCATGGTAGCAGCGAGCCGCAGCCCCAACTCTTGGTTCCGCGCCTGAGGTCGCCACCCTCCCGAACGCAACACCTCCCTTTCATCACCTGACTTCATTCTCTGCAGCCACATTTGCCACGCTCACGTGGCAAGTGTGGCTGGCCCAACGAGCACATAGCTTCAACAGCACTGTCAGCTTCGGAATGAACGGGGTGGGGAAAGCAACTTTTGTCTGAATTTTGAGCGACGGGCTAATCTTCTAGGGGGAGAATGGATGTGTCCGGATTACACAAACGAGGGTGCGAGCAAGAGGGGGCTCCCCCTTTTCGTCTTCTTTAACTGTTTGGTGGAATGCGCGATTTATGAGTTGAGGAGGAAAGCTGAACTGGAAAAAGTTGGAAAAGCGTTTCATGACCCCTTTAAAGCTAATAGCCCCCCCCCCCCCCCCCCCCCCGCCCCTCCCCGAGGTTTGTAACATTCGCAATGTTTGGTTGGAATGCGTCTGAGTTCCCTGGAACTTGGACCATCTTCATCGGTGACTTTTCATATTTACTTTGCATGGTAAACCCGATCGAGACGCAATTCTTAACGCTCGCGCAAGCCTCAACATTTATGTTTTAATTTTTTTTTTTTTTTTATGGGGGGGGGGGGGGGGGATATATGCGATGGTGTTGTCACGTTCATACGGAGGCAACAAAAACCGAAGAATTGGAAAGTACCTTCTTCCTGTTCAACCCCCTCCCCCTTCTCTCTTATTTTTTTTTCAATATATTTTCTAACCATTAAAAGAAAACCAAAACGCACCTTGTTTTTTTACGTTTTTCTCTCCTCCCTTTTTTACGAAAAAATGAAAGAAGAACGAAACTAAAGAGACCGCGTTCCGGAGGTACCCCCATCATTTCGCCACGCGTGTATGCCGTGCCGCCATACAAAAACAACCGTCGCGTCCATAGACGGGACGTATGAGGGGGAGAAGGAAGGGGGTCGCAACTTCCCTTCTTTTTCTTGATTTCCTCTCCCTCTCTCTTTAGATGTCGGCCTCTCCGTTGGCGGCGGCGGCAGCGAGCGCAGTGCGCCCCTACGCGCAGCCCGGGCCCGGCCGCCGCGAGCTGCCAAGGACTGGGGCCCCGGGTCAAAAAACCAAACCAAGCGGTTTTTTTTTCTCCTTCCTCCTTTCTTTCCCTTTATCTGTCTTCGTTCCTCCCCCTTCCTCCCATTCCTAGCGCACCAGCACTGCGAAGAAGTTATGCATGCATTGGGAGGACTTGCTTTCATTGCTCCGAAGGAAGAACAGCCCGCTCGGTCTTGTCGCTGATATTGACTATGTTATAGCTGCGGATGTATAGGATGGTTTTTTTTCTTCTTCAACTTGGCCTGTTTGTGTGTGTGTGCGTTTTCTTTTTTTTTTCTTTTTTTTTGCTTTTTTAACTTTAGTGTTGTTTTTTTTAAAGGGGGGGGGGGGGGGAGTTGTTTCGTTGTTGTGGTTTCACGAGGTCTGGCCGTCCCCGTTTTTTTTTTTTTTTTTCTTACGTGTGTCTTAATGCATCCTTTTTTATTATTTTAATTTGCCGTTTTTTGTTCGGGTTTGTGGGCGGTGGGCTCCATTTCTAGAGTACTGTAGACTATTGTTTTCGCTCATTACAATCATTATTCCAAATACGGCCGAAACGTCTTCTTTTTTTTTATCTGTGCGCATAGCTTGCATTGCATTGCTTAGGGCGCCGGTACGATTGCCGTGGCCATTGCAGTCTGTTTATTTTTTTTTATTATTGTTTTAGGGGGCAGAGGGGTGTACATTGTTCGGTCGGCTAGAAATGCGGGGCCTATATACGCTTGTGTACCGGTTTCGCGTGCATGTTATCGCGTTTATGTGTTTTTGTGTTGGTTAGTTCGGCGAAAAAGAAAAAGAGAGTGTCCGATACCGAGGTTTTAATGGGAAGCGTCCGTTTGCCCCCTTTTTGTTGTTTTCCCTCCCGCTACTTTGGTTTCTTCTTCGATGAAACGGAAGTAGTAGAGAGGGAGAGACCAGTGGGGAGGGGGGAGTGATGGCGTAGTCGGGCCATTGGGGCGGCTTGTCTGGCCCTCTAATGTGCCATCGTCTGGCGGATAAATCAAGAGAGTTGCGAAAAGACGGCGAATTTTCCTTTCCGTCCGGCTTTCGAGACAAGAGGCCGCGAGTTATGCGCCCTTAGATGCGCGCGCGCGCTCCGTCGATTGAGACGCAGATAATTTACGAAGGAAATCAATTCATGCGTGCCGAGCCGTCCTTGCGCGATGGCGCGTGCGATTATTTCGCTTATCTTGTTGGCGAGAAAATAAATGGTGGTGGCGCTTTGCAAAAGTTACAACGAAGAGGAAGAAAAAAAAAGTTTCAGGTGGACGGTATACTTAATTGGCGGTTGGACTATTCGTCGAGAGACGATTCGTAGCTCTACTTAACTGAACGTAGGAAAGCAACATTTTCCCACATTTTTCTTTTCATAGCTGCTACGGTTTATGACAGCTTCAGAAACGCAGACAATAGCTAATTGTGTTCGCAATTTTTTAGTTCGTTATTTGTTTCTACGCTGTGTCTTTGGCTAGTTTTTAAATTCCAGTGGCAGCCCAGCGATAATATTGATCCTCAAACCAGCCAAGGCCTCCGTTTGTTGAACACCTCTGAGTGAATATAGCGACACTTGCATCAAGAATATCGATCAGTACCAAAGGAGTTGTTGTTCGAGGTTTGACTGGAGTAGACTCAAATAGTAGTAGACTGTGGAATCCCGGAGTAAAGCTCACCGCAAAACCGGCGGATGCGGAGAAGAGCTCACCGGCCATTGATCGTATGCGGGAAAAAGCTCACCAATATTTTATCTTCTTTATATATGGAGGCTGTTGGATCATGCATAACATATAGCAATTTAGTATCATTAAAATTTGTGAGCTTTGTAAAAACGAAAATGTCCTTTTTTAATATTTGTTAAGCTTATTGGCTATATTGCTCCCAAATTAATAATTGCGGGGGGCGTTTTCAGTGGCTTACTCTCTAGGCAACGAAAGCCTAACTAAAAATTTTATGAACTTGAAGAACAGAAAAAAGTTTTAAAAAAAAACTTAATGATGACTGCCTAAAATCTAAAAATCAAAGCTGTAAATGCCGAAAATCCAAAAGTGCATGCGCAAGAAAGCGGTGCCTGAAATTCTCTTTGAAGCTTTTGTTAACCTTCGAAAACAGGATAAAGCAGTCAATAGGATATCGGGGCTTCTTTCTTCCACGGACATGGACGCTTTCTAGCCGTTTGTGCTGGTGTTTCCACACGTTCCCTTTGTGTGATAGTGCCCTTCTATGGTGAGCCACCCATGACCTTCCGAGGTGCACACTGTCGCTGTTGTTACTCATGAGCTATATAAGAACTAGTCTTTTTATAACATAGGTAGCGAATTGGGCGAGTTGGTAAACGTTATACATTCGCTCAAACGACGACGGAGTGAAGGCAACAAACACGACACGACGAAGCTGTTCTCGCAACTAAAGTTTTGTTAGTGAAATTAACAGAAAACAAAACAGCGTTGCTGACACTGATTACATCAACAAACAGTTCTTATCTATGAGGCACTACACAATATTTGGAGCTCAAGAGGTTCACATACCGCTATTCAGATCAGCTCGCAAAAAACAAACCTGTTTATCTGATAGAGCTACTGACGGCGCATCCTCAGCTGTCAATAAATTGTTGCCTTTTTTACCGGTGTACGATGTTGTGATTTCATACTTGCGGCTACAGAATGGGGTATTACTGATTTCTGAGGAACTTGTAGATAAGCCCAATTAACTTCAAGAATATTACAAAAACGAGGACATATTTTAATGAAGTGAGGAATGCAAATTGTGTTAAATTACCACGTTTGACGCAGAATCAAGCTAAGCTAAAAAAAATATCGGTGAGCTTTTCTCCGTATCTGCCGGTTTCGCGGTGAGCTTTTCTCCGGTGAGCTTATCTCCGGTGAGCTTTTCTCCGGTGAGCTTTTCTCCGCCGCCCTAGACTGGCCCCTGTTTTTATTCGAAAAGTGTTAGTAGCACCGTGGAATGACCTGCACAAACACAAATCTGGGTTAAACTTACGGTCTAAATTCTTAAAGAAATAAATTGTAAGATGCACCCCATAACTTCAACATACAAACTACCCCCCACCCCTAAAAAAAAACATGTATTTATTGTTGTTGTTGTTTTCGCTGCAAAAACAAGTTACGCAATTCCGAACGCTCCTTCTCAACTCAAAGTTTAAGCACTAACCGTCATATTATTCAAAAGTTACGAGTAATTTTTTTTGTTTTAATATCAACGGGAAAATGGCGGTTGAATACAGGGAGCAGCTCTACATCGCGCCAGAAAGCGAAAACGGGCGAAAAAACGAGCCTTACATTTCCCACATCGAAAAGTTTCAGAAAATCAACTTTTTGAATAAGATATCGGTTCGAAGCTAATTTTTTTGCGGTTAAAAAAAAAGTACAAAAAAAAAACATTAATTGTTTTTGTCTCTTAGGAGACACTTTGTTTATACTTAAGGGACACCCCGAAACGCGTAGACTGTTTGTGTTGTACCCTGAAGCTGGTGCCACACTTTCTGATCCATCCCACGAAAGAATATCTGGGGACACCCGTGTGAGGCGGGTTTATTTCCTGCCTGGAGGGGAGGGGGGGGGGGCAAACATATACATATCTAGGAAGCATTTATACTTCCAACGTGGGCCTGAGGCGCGTGCGTAGATACTTCTGTCACCATATGCCTGCAGCGCGTCTTTTGTTCGCTATGTACGAGCGGAGTGATGGCGGCTGTAAAACCGCTATCAGCGGCGCAAAAAGAAGAAAAAAGGCGTAAATTAAACGAGGTGTGCGGCCCTCGCACTATGTATTAGACTCGCTGGTAAAGGGTATGTAACACCGCGCCGATCGTGAATACCCTTTCTTACGTACACTTTCAAGAACACTTCGCAAACGACACGGTATAGAGTC